GGCTCCGAGGAGCTACAAGTCCCCACAAGTCCGAGGAGAATTGCTGGAGAGGAGAGGTCACGACTGCCACCAGCCTCCCACAGAGTTCGGGTCCCCCAGGGGCCCTGTCACACCCACTCAGTGCCGTCTCCGTCGCCACAAACGTCGCAGGCTGCACAGATAGCCTGGCAGCCCCTGGCGCCTCTACGGGAAGGTGGGGGGTGAGTTGGGAAGGGCACAGGCTCTGGGGTTGGCTGGGTCTGAGTGTGAATGCTGGCTTTACCACTCACTGGCTCTGTGACCTCAGAAATGTTATTGACCGTCTGGAAGCTTCTATCTAAAAATGGGGAAAATAACATCTACTTTATAAGACTGTCTGTTGTCAAGACTTTTATTCTCATCAGATGACATCTCGGACACACACTCGGTACTCGTCTGACCTAGGACCCTTGAACCTCGGTGTTCCTGAGAAGCACCTGAGAGCCCAGCTAAGCATGCCCATTCCTGGGCCTTACACCCCAGACATCCCGACCGATGCGTCTGAGAGAGCCCAGGAACCTGCATTTTCACCAGCTGCCCCTGGGGATTCTGACGTCAGTGGCTCGCTGGCCACACACGGAGAAGCACTGAGCGAAGCGGGTGCCGGTGCCCGTGGTGTGATTACTGTGCGGGGACGTACTACGTCAATTGTGAGCATGATGAAAAGCTCATGCAACAAGCAAATTCATCATCGTGTTAATTATCTATCTATAATTAGCTGCACTCCGTTAGAAATCATTAAATCTGCAGTTTTTGAGACACGCCACAGTCCCACTGGTCAATGCTGCGTAATTCCTGGGGTATTCTCTTTGGGCAAATCAACCAAGCCCACGGACCTCGAGTGGGAAGCCCCTCCCCGAGGAAGGAAGGCAGCTACCTCTACCTTCGCAGCCAAAACAAGACTCTCACTAAAACAACCAAGCGTCACATCCCTAGCAGACGACCTCCAGCCTGGCTTAGTGAAGAGCAGGGCCCCACCTGGCTTTATAATTCCGTCTGTCTGGTGCCTTTCTGCCCCAGGAAAGGTCCAATGCCCAGAAGGGCAAAGGTCTCTGCTCCGGCCCCTCCCGCACTGCAACGACTTCGGCTCCTCCCTCCGTCTCCGGAGGATGTAACACAGCTTATTTCCGATTTCCAGTCCCGGGCTTCCAGCAACGACAGCAGTCTACCCTGAAATCCCTGTTACTGCCCCGTGTCGCCGAACTAGGACAGAAAACAGCTTGCAGAAGCCCCCGTGACTGGGAACAAAAGAGCGGGGAAGAGAAAAGGCGGCCCTGCCAGCATCGGAGAGCTTAGAAGAACCTTTAAGGACAGTGCAAATGCTGAGATGTGGTGGGGGAGGGGGTGTCGGGAAGCAAGCTCTAATGGCTGGGAGGAAGTGGGAGAAGGGAGGGGCTGAGGACACAGCCCCATTGGACCGTGATATTGTAATCGGAAAAGACACCGGCGTTCGGGCTGCCTGTCACTACCAAATCCAATAAGCAATGACAGTGATTGAATCTTTTATAGGTGCTTTATTCAGATGGCCGGCGATCCGAGAAGATGGCAGGTTCATACCCTAACAAACCATCTTGCTCTTTCTTTCCCAGCCAGATCTTTTATAAGGGGGTTGGGGGAGGGCAAACAAGGTGTCAGCGAAAGCCTTTGAAATTCAACAGTTGCCTCCAAGGGGGAAGGGCAGTCGCTTGCTTCTTCCTGGTACAGACCTCTCCAGATGAGGTAATCCCCAGTCAGTGCCCCAAGAGGTCAACTGCTTAAAATTTAGGCGTCACGATGGGGCTTATCTGTAGTTGCTGAAACAAAAACTTAACATACACATTACTTGCTAGATTTATGACTATTTACCTTAAGTTAAATTTTCCCAAGTCTTAAACCCCTATCAATATGAACAGCACGGGGCTCATCCTGCCTGGCTGAGGGAGCCCTGGCGGCAGTCAGATTCATGAAGAAATGTGGCCCAGAGGAGCGCCACCGGCGACTCTTTCCCAAAGGGGTGAACCAAGGTCAAGTGAAATGAAATGAGACAGGAGAGGCTCTGGTTCAAATCCAGTGGCTCCCAGGTCCGGCCTGGTGTCAGAATCCCTTGGGATGCTGCTGACAAACCCCGTCCCAGGCATTTCTGAGGCCCGCCCCCGCCAGCAGTTTGATGATCGAGTACGAGTTCGAGAGCCACGGGCTCAGTGCTTGGCAGAGGTTCCCGGCTGATGGCCTTCAGGGGCGAGAGCATTTCTTCTGCAGACTTTCCTGAGCAGTTAATGCATCGCCATATAATTCGTTACTCAGACGTGTGATCGGCCCTCCCAGCCAGCCTCGTGGCAAGGTCCCGGTGAGCCCCCATCACAGCAAAATCCTGAAAGGCACGCGCATCCCACTTTAGGTAAAGCTCTACCATGTGGCTTTGGCACTTTTTTGTCGTGTGCTCTCCATTTGGAGATCATCCAGATACTAAGGAATTTTTGCAAAGTAAAAAAGACATAATTCACAAATAGTTCTCTTATGTAATGAAATCTTCATAAACACTAAATTGAACAACTAAAGGGGTGGAGCCAATATTTTTTCCAGCCATGTAGTTAAATTCTTATTCATTTTGACTTTGAGTCTTTATTGGTGTAATTTGGATTTAATGATCTGGCCTGGTCTCCATCACTCTGTAGGTGGTGTCGAACAGGGCAAACACCCTGTAAACACACACACACACACACACACACACACACTCACACACCCCTCTGGGAGGTAAATATTACTTTAGAGGCGAGATAAAATGCCAGGCACATAAAGTGATTTCTCTGCAATCACGCAGCTACTAAGAGGCAGGCCAGGACAAAAAGCTCAGTGCTCTCATTCCAAGTGCTGATCTCTTCCCATTGTTTCAGAGAATGTGCTAGATGGCTTCTGAGCACACACACCTCCCTAAATCGCTACCGTTTCCCACATTGTACAAGGCTCCTGGGATCTGGCGTGCAAGGCCTTAGGCCTGAGCCAAAGGCAGGCTTGAGACTGTAGGAGAGATGTCGAAGACTCAGTGAAAACAACAGCAGATGAACTCGGAGCTCCCTGCGCACGTGCGGCGGCCAATGTCTACCAATCCATTATATTTTCAAAGCATGCCATGCATTGTTTGCAATAGACATTGATTTTGCTAGATCCACAACTAAAGCTATGCCCAACTGAACGTTTGTTAAAAATGGAAAAGTTACCACCTAATGAAGACATGAAATAAAGTGGAAAACAGGGAAGAAGGAAACACAACTTGAGAGCTACACGATGCCCTTCTCAGACGGGGATGAGCCTCGGACCGCAGGGCTGTGGATGGGGACAGTGTCAGAGCATGAGGAGGGGGTGGCCGGATTCCCCACGAGGGGGCTTGGGAGGCTCCAGACTCCCCTGGAGCTGGTTCTTCACGGGTGAGTGTCCCCCCAACCCCCACCCCAGGCAGCCAGGCAGAGGCAGCGTGAGTTCTGGGTAAGTGACCTACCCATGTCGCAAGACACAGCCCTGTGGAAATGTCCAGTGGACGGTGGGTTATCAGTGCTGGGATCGGCCCTCCAGGGCCATGGACTCTGTGGTTTCCTGGCTGGTGTCACAGAGAAGGCAGAACAGAGCTTGTCCCCCTAGAGTGTATTTCCGTCTTGTCGTGGGAGTGTGGGGTGTGAGGTCCCAGGCTGGGCTCCGCAGAGAGGTCTGACCAGTGGGGACACGCGTTAAGCATGCCCCTCTTTGAAACACCTTTGGCAATTCCCCCAGAGGCCCTCTGCCACCACCCCAGGTAACCCATCCCATAATACGGGGAAGGAACCTCATTCAGCGCAAACTGTCGAAGGAGAATTGTGTCACTGGTTTGCAGACCTTTGCTTCAAGGGTTCCACCCACCAAGGACAAACCCACCAACCTTTGAAAAGGTGTGAGGGAGACCCGGGCCCACCTGAGGCTTGGGCAACAAGGATTTCACTTAAATCCTGAGATGCCGACGGCAGAGAGTGTGGACAGCCCTGTCCGCACACGGAAGGGGTGCGGGCGAGGGGTCATTGCCATTCAGAGGGCTGAGTCCTGAGTCCAGCAGAGCCAAGTTCAAAGCTCACTTTCACTATTTCCTGCGTATGTGATTTGGACCAGTTTCAAACTTCTCTCAGCCTCTGCCCCTTCCATCTACAAACTGCAAACAAATTATTTTTTTTGCGAGGCTCTTGTGAAAAGTAATTCAATGTGTCAACAGCCCGGTATACAGTAGGTGCTCACTTAACAGCAGTGATCACAGCCCCTGCCAGGTGTCAGTGAAGGATGCATGCAGCACGCAAGTAAAAAAAGTCATTTGGGGACAACCTGGAAGTCCAGGCCTGGGTTTCTATGGCAACATGGCTTCCTTCTCCAAACCTAAGGAACTCCTCCGCAGGCGCAGAAAGCTTTCCCGTGTGTTAAATGATGATGTTGCTGTTCCCCGCGTGATTTGTTGATCCACGAGGAGAGGACCTGATCCCTCCCAGCCGCTGTTTGGTTTGAACTCGGGCAAAGTTGGCTCGGAGGCCTGGCTTCTCCACCCCGCCGGGCGTGAGGCTGGCCGGCCTCAGGTTCCCCTGCCCGGGGCGGGGGGGGGCCAGTGAGTCACTGACAGGCTCTCTCGTCTGAGTGGCTCCAGGAACACGAACATGAAGCATTGGCTCAGGAGGCGGAAAGTGGGAAGAGCAAATAAATGCGTGACAAAGTGTGTCCCGTGGTCGGAGGCCTGCCCTGCGATCCTGGGTGGGGGCTCAGGGAAGCTCTTTAAATTGGGGACCACTCCGACCCAGCCAGTTCCTCCGGCACTGCTCCCTTGATCCAAAATTGCTCTTTTTTTCCCCCTTTCCAACTGCACTTTCAGAGCATGAAAACAAATACATGTGGGTGGGGGGAGATTTTCCAGTCTCGTGGCTTGAGTACCATGTTGCGTAAAGACGTTGTTATTGCTCATCGAACACGCTAGCCCTGGTGTTTTCGTGCTCCTGCAGGCAGGGGTGCAGAGGGGCCGACACGGAATCCAAAACGGGGCTCAATGAAAATGCACCGCGCGTTGGAATTCACAGATGGCACCCTGCAGGTAGGACCCCGGGAATCCAGTGTCTCGTGAGTTAGTTTTTAATGTATCGTTATCGATGTTTTTTATATAATCATTCTGTGAAACCCTGAAACCTGTGAGGAGAATTATGCCTCAAGGTTGAAGCATTCTAAGACTGAGGTTGTATATATTTATGACACAGTTGTTTCTCTTTAAAAGGAATCATTACAACTGCAAATATACAAAAAAGAGGTCATTTGTGGTCATCGCTGGACATGACGCAAGGGACAGTCATGCTCCTGAGCTTCTCCCCCCAGGCACAATGCTTAACCTGGCCCTTCACACTGAGCGTCAAGGGGCCGCGCGTCTGCTGACCCCGGTGATGTTTCCAGGAAGTTTCTCTCCCTGCCCAGTGGGGAGCAGCAGCACAGCCCCCGCCCAGCCCGGGGCGCCGCTCCGCTCCCAGGGAGGAGGAGGAGGCCTGCACAGAGGGGGTGTCTGCAGGGGGCAGCTGCAGATTTTTGGAGGGAACCAAAGACTCTCTGGCCATTAGACTAATGAACATTTCTGTCATTTGAAATATGAACTCAAAAATACATTCTCCGAAACACAGGAGAAAGACGGCCTACAAGAAAGTATATTCCAGCACAGAACAGAAGAGGGGCCCAGGGAACCGGACAAAACGTGTGCATACATATCTGCACATGCGTGTGCAAGCACATATATGTGCACACATGTGCATGTATGTGCGCACACATGTGTGCGCAAATGCTTTTTAATATTTTGTTTTATTTTTTAAAGATTTTATTTATTTATTTTTAGAGAGGGAAGGGAGGGAGAAAGAGAGAGAGAGAAACATCAATGTGCGGTTGCTGGGGGTCACAGCCTGCAACCCAGGCATGTACCCTGGCTGGGAATCGAACCTGCGACAATTTAGTTCGCAGCCCGTGCTCAATCCACTGAGCTACGCCAGCCAGGGCCTCACAAAGACATTTTTACCAAACAACAACAGAGTCTACTTCTTAGCCAGACCTGACCAAATTGTGTCTTATTGCGGTAGCTCCCATTTTTAAAAAGTGGTAGACAAATTCAGACTTCATAAGCCTCGGGCCGGATTCGGGGCTCAGTGCCCCCGACTTGGGGAGCAGCTGGGTTATTCCACCTCCACTCACAGCCTCTGGCGCCAAGTGCAAGAGTAAACACGTCATGAAGAGTTTCTGTTCTATTCGTTCCAGCAATAACCGTCCGAACCGTTCACTTCAGGCAAATTGTAACCCTGCCTGGCGTTGGGCTGCTCTGCAGATGGCAAGGCTGCCGCACACTGTTCCCGGGGGGCCCTGTGCATTCTGGGATTGCTCCCTGACAGTTTGCGTGCGCATAGAGTTTGCTCATTGGGAACTTGACACAAATTATTAAAATGATTAATTTCTCACAAAGCGCACTTATGGAAAATAGGAATCCTCTTAATTAGTGTTAACAAAGTAATACAAATAACATCTGTAGTAACAGCTAACACGTACTGAGCCCCTGGTATGTACGAGGCGCTGCGCAAAGTTACCAATAGATGTCACCATCTGGAGCCCTCCCTGGAACCCTTGGAGATGCCCACCCATCGTCTCGGAGAGGGTAACTAACCCGCCCACAGCCACACAGCTGGGAGGGGCACAGCTGGGATTTTAACCCACACCGCCGCCGGAATCTGGAGCTGAAACTCTAGACATAGGGAACCGAACAAGAGTTTTGCCCTTTATATTGTTAAAATGACTTATTTTATTTCAACGAAACATCATCCATCATATTAAATGAATGTCATTAGTCCAACTTTTATTGGTTGTGCCATTTTGTTTTTATCTAATTTGTCAATTTTTCTTGGTTTTATCATTATATTAGGTCTATCAGTATAAGGCTTGCTACCTAGTTTTAGTCTGTTCATGCTTCAGTAACATAAAAAATAATTTAGGTTGACATCAGATGTCAGTAAGAAATTTTTCCTTCAAAGAAAGGGTCACCCTGCTGTGGTTCAGTGGACTGAGTGCCAGCCTGCCAACCAAAAGGTCACCAGTTCGATTCCCAGTCAGGACACATGCCTGGGTTGCAGGCCAGGTTCCCAGCTGGGGGCGTGTGAGAGGCAACCAGTCGATGTATCTCTTGACATTGATGTTTCTCTCCTTCTCTTTCTCCTTCCCTTCTCCTCTCTCTAAAAATAAACAAATAAAATCTTTTCTTTAAAAGCGTCCATCCTTTACTTATGTTTTCCAAACACCAATGTAAAAACATGTGAACACCACTAGTTCAACACAGGCTTGTCTTCTGTTCAGTGTAAACCCCTGATTATTAGTGAACATTCAACCGATGGCTGATAATTCTGACTTTTCATTTTTGTTCTCACAAAGCCTTTTCTCCTGGGAGTTTAAGGAGCAGTATGGAAATTTTTCAACAAATTAAGATCTTCCATTACACTATCAATATCCTAAGAGTTGGGAGGAGTTATTAAAATCACATTAACAATGGTCTGGCATTCTGTGGTACTTTTCCTCTCAATATTGCGAAACGCTTTTAGATACATTATCGCATTTATCTGTTCATATCCTGAGGAAGGAGGCGGTGGAAAGTCTCTTTGTCGCAACCTCACAAACAGAGAGTCCACGGTACAGGGAGGTTAAATAGGGCTCACAAGAGAATTTACGGCAAGCGGTGAATTTATACACTCAATCACTTTTAGAGTCTAATTAGATCTCACGTCTCCGGGGAACTCGTGTGTTGATGCTGAGAACCCATCAGGTGACAAGGTCTCTGCCCTGTGAATGTCTGTGGTTCCTGGGATTAGTGGGGTGGCGAGTCCAGGGTCAGGGTCAGGGTCAAGGGTGTGTTCGGAGTCTGGCTTGACCCTGAGCTCTGTCACTTACTAGCTTTGAGAACTTGGGGAAAATGGCAACTTTTGTGGGCCTTGGTTTTCTCATTTATCAAACAGGAATAATTAGAGTCCCTACCTCATGGAGTCAATCTGATAATTAAATAGGATAGTTAAATACCGTCTTTAACTATCTTATTTAAATAAGTTATGTGATAGTTAAATAAGATACAAAGGCTCAGCACTGGTCCCCTGAGGGGCCCACGATGAGGAAAGGGGAGGAGTTAGCATACAAAGGCTCAGCACTGGCCCCTGAGGGGCCCATGATGAGGAAAGGGGAGGAGTTAGCATCAGCACTGGCAATTGTGCTAACGAGTATTTCTGTTCTTGAGTTGTGCTCATGAGCTTCAGTTGTGTTAATGTCCCCACGGCCCAAAGCTTAGAAAAACTCCTGCTGAGATGGAGGGTGGAGAAACTTCTAGAGGGCAGGGGACACAGCAGCCTGTGCACAGAGACCACAGCCCACTGTGGACGGCTGTCTAGGATGCTTTCAGTCTGAACTCAGGGCGGTCTAAACCAGGGGGCTAATCTCATAAAACAAGAAATCCAGAGGTATCGCCCTCTCAGAGTGGACTAACTCAATGCCTTGGAACCCTCCAGGACCCAAGTAACTTGCATTTCTGAGTCTACTACACTCAGTAGGTCAGATGCGCCCCTGCCTCCTTCCCTTCTCCTCCCCACCGTGGTGGCCTCTTACAGACAGCTATGGCAGAGTCCAGGAGAGGAGGCGGGGCTGTGTCTTCCTTCTCTCTACTTCAAGAATCAGAGAAACCTGCCCCAGAAGCTCCCGGGTTTCCCCGCATGTCTTACAGGCCAGCACTGGTGGTATATTCACTCCAAACCGGTCCCTGGGGCAGAGCCACTGAGATTCTGCTCCTAGGGCTGGGATTGGGACACAGTATAGCGGTTTGGACTCCATCAGGGCCCGGTGGGCAAGGAAGAAGCCGGAGTGGCTGCTGGGTGGGCTCCGAACCGTGTCTGTGTTCATCGGTGTCCACCATGAGTCGATACAAAAAAAAGTGCTATCTTGAAACTGGGTCTGTGCATACATAACCTTGTGCAACATGGGAAGGCAAGTCAGTCGTAAAAATAGACATCAGCCTTTCATGAGCTGTTCTCGCCTCTGGGGTTCTGTGACAAAATTTCTAAATAAGAGCTCTCCCTCGTAACCGTGCAGCTATCAGAACCCCAAAGCATCAAATGCTATTGTCAGAATAAGAGTGGGGGGAGGAAGGGGGCCAGGCAGCCATCCAAGGAGGCAGAGGTTCTCCATAGGACACGTATTAAATGTGTGTCCCTCCAGTAGACTGGAACCCAAGACCACAGAACTGAAGGCCCAGAGACACGATGGCCGGGATTCCTTCCCCATCTCCCAACCAGGCTCCTGCCACGCCTCACTTTTGCCTAACATTAAATACCTCCCCTGGTCGGACTGTGCTCCAGTTACAACCTCTGAGAAACTATTGCAGGAGGCTCCGGTGTTTCCAGAAAGAGCGACAGTCTCGGGAAGAGGAACACTGCCCTGTGCCCGCACCGCTGAACCACAGAGGTCCCGCTGGCCTCCCCACGCAGACGGGTCCTGGGGAAAACCAGCTCGAATCGCCCTGCATCCGCTGGCTGCCCTTCAGAAAGAAAGGTCAAGAGACTCAGTTTTCTTGTAATGCTCTTCTGATCCCCGATCAAAGGACTTCAATTTTGCTAAAAGCCAATTGCTGCAAGTTGAAGTTATTTGCGCAATGGCATGATCACCCAGGGGCTGTCCAGAGGCCCAGAAAGGGCCTCCCCGCTGTCACAGAGTCACGGAGGGACCACGCAAGCATCCCTCTCCTGCGGGTTGACGGGAGAGCTCCTGGAACGGAAGACGCTCCCCCATAGGACAACAGCAGACACGTCCTGCATTCAAATGTGGAGTACAAATGTATTCGAGTTTCTTTTTCACTTTTGTTTAGTCACTGAGGACCTCTGATTGATCTAACACCAAAGAACACCTGGTCAACTCCCCAATATTTATTCTACACCAAAAGAATTACCCAAAGCACTCAGAGAGGTAACATAGTCCCCCCACCGCAACTTCTGCCAGGGGGCGGTTTAGCAATAGACATGAAATAGGTAAGCAACCCCACCTTGCCCAAGGAGATACAAGGGAACCCAGCAAAGGGGTCTTCTCTCCTGAAAAGAGTATTCCCGATCCCCAGGGAGAAATTCTCTCTCTCCGTTGTCTCGCCTTCCCAGTGGCCCCTCCTGGCACCGCATTCCTGAGCGTTAGTCCCTCCCTCCTTCCCAGTGGGGAAGGGAAGGCCTCTGAGTAGGGAAAACACCACCAGCGCAGAGTGTGGGGACATCGGCGTTTGGGGACATTTCTCTTTGAATGTGTGCAGCAACCGAGGCTAATGACAGCCTGGCATGATTGGGGAGGTTTTTTGGGTTTTTTTTGTTGTTGTTGTTGTTTTCCTCAAAGACTAAAGGGGGAAAAAAAGGACGCTTTCCCACTATTTGGTTTAACTACCATAGATGATAATGGGACAGTGTCATTGTGAGTTAAGCTTAAACACGAGAGATTTAAAAGTTGTTTTGATTCTTAAAATAAGAAACAGGACTTCAGAATGATTTCGGCGTTCTGTTCCCATAGAGAAACAGAGCTAAGTGCTTTTCGTCTTAAACACAACCTTTTGTGAGTTCTAGGATCACGGCCGCACGGCAGGGATTGAAAACCACCCACGAGCCGCCTCTCCAGTGATCGCACCTGCCTCCCTCTGCTTTGATCTTCTCAGATGTCTCGGGAGAGGCGGGATAGGGAGCTCCCGGGCCGCCGAAAGATAATACCAGTGAGTCATATCCGTGGGTTGTTG